AAGAGACCCTTCCTGCTCGCATGCCCCATCAGTGAAGATGAGCACTAGAGGTTGTCGTGACCATTCGCCCACACACCTAGGTCCTCCCGACTTCAAGGTGTCTAGAGCAAACTGCAGAGCTCTCACAAGATCATCGGTATGTTCACGGCCTGGAGAACGGTCGCTGCTCCTTTCGGTAATAAGTTGAGTCGCGATTTGAGCACTGTTGCCGAACACGTGCCCGGCTGCAAACAGCAACTTACCCTTGACGGAGTGCATTCGCTTGTTGTCGCAGCGCCGAGCCTTCATGCATCGACGGACCACTTCCTTAATGGATTCAATACGTCCTTCTTTGTTGCGGACTAACACGTCTCCCTTGAAGGCTTTCTCAAAGGAGATGCAGGCCCCCAACATGTTGAACGAAGTTGCGAACGGCAAGGCTTTGGCGCCCTGCGCAATCCTCCACCCGAGCAAGTCCAATGCCTCTTCGGCAGTCGACCTGGCAGATTCCTGCAAAGGTTCGAGCTCCAGTTGACAAAAGTTGTCGTAGAAGTTGGTTGTAACCAAGAAGAAAAGGGTCGACAGGACTTTTCGGCGCGCCCTGGCCATCCTTTTAAAGCCCGTCACTGCGCTCACCGCACCAAAAGGTAGAGCCACGGCCTCAAAGTAGTGAACGACGTTGGTCTCCGGATTCAGGTCCGCCACGATGGACACCCACGGGATGGCAAGCCAGTTGTTTGTAAGCGGCTTTCAAGTCAAGAGCACGTCCACCCAATCGACGGGCCTTTCCCCTGCGCCAGTCCGGATGAAGGTGCCCGGTGACCCACTCACTGGAAGCAGCAGGCAGCTGGAAGGTGGACACCCTCGAAGTCGTTGCGCCCAAGAAGAAGCGAGCCAGCGATACAATGTGGTCAATTCCTTCCAAAGTAATCTTCTCGGTCTCGGCGACAGCCGTGTTGATCAGAAACACTGAAAGGTCATCCACACTTCTCACCTTGTCGGCTTGGGCAACTCCAAAACGCTTTGAGGGAATCCAACAGCCTTGGTATTCCTTGTCGATCTCGTCCCACGTAAAAGGCCCTTTAAGCCAAGACTTCTCGACCTGCTGGAGCGTGTCGGCCCACACAGCTTTGGCAACCTCTAAGGAAGTCCTTTGACGCCTTCCACGCCCTGCACTTAGTATGACTTGCATTGCACGAACGTTGCCCATATCCGAAATGGACGACTCATCAAAGGGATGTCGCATTTTCAAAGCTCAGACAAGAAAGCCTCGGGTGTACGTTAGATACCGACCTTGACCACACGGACGCCCTCCATACCCCCATCAATTTAATCTAACGCGGTCAATCTGCGGACAGACACTCCTTTTGGCAGCAGATTCGCTTGATGGTCCTGCAGGCAGGTAGACGACCCA